TAATGTCCTGCATCTATTTTTATGGTAAATTAACAATGGTTGGTTATAAGGTCCTGCATCTATTTTTATGGTAAATTAACAATGGTTGGTTATAAGGTCCTGCATCTATTTTTATGGTAAATTAACAATGGTTGATTATAATGTCCTGCATCTATTTCTATGGTAAATTAACAATGGTTGGTTATAAAGTCCTGCATCTATTTCTGTGGTAAATTAACAATGGTTGGTTATAAAGTCCTGCATCTATTTCTGTGGTAAATTAACAATGGTTGGTTATAAAGTCCTGCATCTATTTCTGTGGTAAATTAACAATGGTTGGTTATAAGGTCCTGCATCTATTTCTGTGGTAAATTAACAATGGTTGGTTATAAGGTCCTGCATCTATTTCTGTGGTAAATTAACAATGGTTGGTTATAAGGTCCTGCATCTATTTCTATGGTAAATTAACAATGGTTGGTTATAATGTCCTGCATCTATTTCTATGGTAAATTAACAGTGGTTGGTTATAAAGTCCTGCATCTATTTCCATAGTGTAAACACGAATGCGCTTTGTTCAAGTTCTGCTTTATTTTTATTAGACATTTACAATTTCATTTCTCCTATCAGCAAGTTATATGCTTAAAATAATTTAAATATTTCAACATAACTGAATTTACCTGCACGTCACGCACATTTGCGTGTATCTTTCAGTGTATTCACCATACTAAAAACAATAATTTTTATGTTATTTAAAATAGCTGGACTTTGCTCAGAAAAAAAAAGATGGTACAGTTTACTACAGAAGATACGTTGTTAAGAATTTGTATTTATATATATTTTTTTGTATCAGCTGAAGCATAATGAAAATCTTGTGTACAGAACATACTTCTGCGAAAACTTTTAATCTTATTTAAAAATCAACAATAGTGTTGCAATTTTAAAATTCAAGTAACAAGAAGTTGGTCTGTTGTGTACAGAGTGAATATAGACAGTTGTAATTATGAGCAACAAATTAATGAATCGATATATAAAATATGGGGATCCACAGTGAACTGGTATAAACTAGATCTTTTGGTTTTAGGTTCGACATTGGACAGTCAAATCCTTTTGGGTATTTTAACTAAATTTCTGACAAGCTAGAATAAAAATTTTGTTCGTGTGAAATATCTGAAAACCTTCGTTCTCCATTTTCTTGGAAAGTACAATTTTCCGTACTACACCCTTGTGTCTGTGAATATTAAAACAGCCTGTCATGGTAACAGCCGAGATATGTGAAATTTGTGTTTCAGAGTAATAGTGTTATCAGCTCTTTGTTTATTCATAGGCTGACGAAGCACTCCTAAAGAAACATTATGAAGAGCTGGCAGGTCGACCTTTCTTCAACGGCCTCGTTAAGTACATGCAGATGGGTCCCGTAGTTGCCATGGTGAGTATGAGTAATAGAACTTGTGTGTTTAAAATCATTTTTTAGAATTAAAGTTTAGCTGATTCAAAATTTGAGTTTAATATCTTAAATTTTTAATAGCTATTTGAGACTTGTTTTACTAGTTTTTGTGATGTTTAATACATTACTTAACAATTTTATAAGCTTGAAGACTTCAGTTAAAGTTGAAAAATTAATTATTAAAATGATACAAAATATTTCTAGAACATCCCTAACTTGTGCTGTTGAATTATATTAGTTAGGTCTCTGCAGATTTGGGTTTTTCTAAAGTTTAACATCTTAGTAGAATTTGCAGTTTTTATGGGATAAATATTTAATGAGTTATGAAACAAGTGTTTAAACATTGCATGTCCAGGATCTATTATTCACTCCACTTCTACAAGCCTCTTTAGGAACAGGTGCACCTTTTATTCTAACAAAAATTATTCTATAGTGAAAATAGCCTGGTATCAAACGTTTCCAAAAATAGACTGTAGTGTATTTCTTATTGAACAAAGGGAGAAGCAGGTGCACAAAATTTTATAAAAGTTGTTTACACCTGCATTTAATATTCTATGATTAACTTTATAGGCATGGGAAGGTCTGAATGTTGTGAAGACGGGCAGGGACATTATTGGAGCCACCAACCCCATGGAATCGAGCCCAGGTACCATTCGTGGTGATCTCTGCATTCAGGTCGGAAGGTAACGAATTTATTTCACGAGTTCCAAAATGTTAGGCCTTACTCTAGACACTAGCTGGAAGATTTGAAAAGTTATTACTTGGTGACTTAATATTTAACAAAATCATTATTCCAACATATAACTTTTTCACTCATTACTCGTCACAATAAAATCTTGTAGGAAGTATTACATAAAAATATGCAACATTTGTGAAAATGTTACTAAAGTCTTAAATATCTTTCGTAGAAACATCATCCACGGCAGTGACTCTGTCCCCAGTGCCGACAGAGAACTGGCATTGTGGTTTGACTCGAAAGAGCTTGTTTCTTGGAAGCAAGAAATGGAAACCTGGATTTACGAAGAAACTAAATAGCATTTTCTCCAGAATATTCAGTGGACCGCAGGTTTTCGGGATCAATATTAGTAATTTAGAAAACTTGTTTCACAGATTTCTGTGATATCTTTTTTTTTTTAATTTACAAAGTCCTGCTGTATCCAAGAAATTATTGCACTTTGTGTTAAATAAAACTTGGGTCACTTGAAAAGAAAATTTAATTATACAGTAATCTTGGCTGCAGTGTTTACTAAATCATGTGATATCACATGTTACTAATTTGGATGCTGGTTTTACCACACACACACACTATGAATTTTTTAAGTCAATTCCTAAGGGAAAACCACTCGTGTCTGTCTTGCAAATATGGTTAATTGTACTTCGTATTTCTTCTAGTTGACAGTAGGTGGAAATTAACTTACAAATCAGTTATGGCACTGCTTACATTCTGAAATACAATTTTAGTTAATAGTCTGTCAGTTAAGAAAACACACAGCCAATAATTGAATAGGAATCAAATGAAGCAAAGAGATTGATTTCGGTAGCACCACTAATATTGGAAATTTTTTATCGTGGTTTGGCTGGTAAGACCGATAAGCTCTCACCTAAACAGACCACTCCCACAAGTTGAAACTTCTATTTCTGAGCTCTTTTTGTTTACTAAGTGGAAGTGACGTTGTCATCTCCAGAAATTTATACATCATGTTGTATACAAAACTAATAAACCTCTAACTGTGAACATCCATTTATTTATTATGGAATTGTCAGTAGCTAATAAAGCCACCACCCTCGTTCTTGTTGGTACTAAAAATTACGATATGTTTGTTGCCTTTCGAGGAACAATTACACCAATGGTTGTACTGAATATACTATAAACTAGCACATTAAATTCATTTTGAAAATTCTGTCAAAATGTACAATTTTAAGCAGAGGTTTCAAATGTCTGCTTTATGTGTTCTCTGGTGAAGTCTATCACAAAGTGTCCTGTTACATCAAGTACATGTAAACGATGCACGTCAGAATCAAATCTTTCAACTGGAGAGGGGGTTTAAAGATGAGTTTCAGTGAAAAAGAGAGATTTAATTAGATACGTTGAACAAAGCCTAAATCGTAACTACATCTTTTGCTATTCTGTTAACAAAAATGTAAAAGTCTGTCCTTTTTTGGCAGATGAACTAAATGTTTGATGGATAACCTAATTACATCTGAAGATACTCTTTTATTTCTGGTTGTTACAATCATCATGGTTAAATCAGAACACACAGAATCTGTACAGATTACACTTTGGCTACAAACAACTCCTTTGGGAGGCCTGCACACTTAGTTTTAAAGTTTAACTCTGTTATTTCCTACTAAAGCTTTAAAATTACATTGTTACAATAATTAATTCATGAATAATGAACTTGAGGACTACAGAAATAATAGCTTCGACATCAGATAGTATACATACATCTATGAAATATGATACAACGAACATTATAACTTTACTAGAATTACTTGCTTCTATACAAATGTAATGGCTATTAACTCATATTTTATACAATAGTTACAATTCTTTCTTTAGTTCTATAGAAATAGAGAAAATTGTCTGGTACTTTTCTATGTAACAGTTACGAACTCGACTGGTAATTCTTCCTTTAGCTCTATAGAAATAGAGAAAATTGTCTGGTACTTTTCTATGCAACAGTTACGAACTCGACTGGTAATTCTTCCTTTAGGTCACGTTCATATGTTTTATTTGTTGCTTTGAAGAACAGCTGACCCAATAGTCTTTACTCAATTCAGTGGGGTTTTCAGTTCCGGAGAAAACTCGAAGAGGAATGTTTCCAAAATATCCTAAAGCCAAGAAGAAGAAGAAAAAGCACAATTGAAACTGATTTTCTCAACTTCAGCAGGTGTGTAGAAGTATGCCCACCAGTTTAACATTAAATTTCTTCACATAAGCTTGTAATAACCAGCTATTTACAGCAGAAACATACTGGACCGCTTTAAAATCCAAACAACATTTTCATAACTACATGGCTGCATTTTGGACCATAAAGGAACTCTATGATGTACTGGAAAACTGTAAGTTTCAGTTCTTTTTCAGGAGGTTGTTGTCTGCAAATATCCAGTTTTTCTGAAGAATTACAGTAATCTTGTATTCATTACTATACATATAAATTACAATGTCCACTCGCTATGACATCAGCAAAACTCACTGTAACTTAAGACTGTGTTCTAGAAAGACAATGAATAATAAAAGATTTTTATTTTAACAGTTCTTACCTTGTGCGTTATACCAAATGTAACCTGAACAAGCATAATCCTTACCTTGGATGGTGTAATATACCAAATATGGCCACAACATATTAAGAAAAAGGGGCCACTTCACAATACTTACTTTGGATAAGGAACTATAAAACATACGACCAACTTTTCATGGATATATTGTGTAACTGACAAGAACCGACAACTTTTCAAAAGCTATAGCAACCATCCTTGGAATTTAACTAAACTTGTACAGCTGCTTTGCCAAGTAGAATTTGGAAATGATTAAAATGCAGAGCCATATAACTCATGAGATCTTAGTTAGACACTTCATTAAAATACCATACCAGGTGTTATTGTTTAACCTTGTACTGGTCACATGGATAATAAGGATTAACTACCAACGTCATTAGTTTTTATATAATAAAGTGAATACTTGAGTAAAGAATGTGCGAAAACAACTGTAAAACTACCATACTTACATTAATACAGTGTTGCTTTAATTCGACCTATGATGAAACAATGGGATGATTGACAGGTAAAAACACATTAGGAGATCTACAGTAATAAATCATTTTCAACAGACGTATTTCGTTTTTATTAAACTACAAAAATAATTATCTGAATTTTTGGAACAGACACAAGACCAGTTCTTCTAAATTATAGTAAGGTTAATTCAAATAAGTCAATATTGTGTTATTAATACCCAAAACCTGATTTATAAGTGCCGTAAATAAAAATTGGTAATAATTATAATTCATTTATTTTACTAGTTTACACCATAACGGTTGTTATTGATGATATAAATATCACTACTAAGTCTGTCACATCCAAGCCAGACTGATGAGCCTCTGGTATTGGGTAAAAGGCATAGTCGGCCTGAATGTATTGTGTGATCGACATATTATAACATATTCTTTGAAGAAAGCTATGATCCAAAATCTAGTTTCATGCATAAAGGGCACGAGAAAAAAGGTTCAAAATGACAGGTCAAAATTTTAAACAAAAAAACATTTGTTTCTTTCAATTTGAAAATGATAAATCTACTTTTAAGAGTACATAAAAAACTTGAAATATACAAGATACTATTTTTTGATGTGAAAAATTTTATTTAGAAACCATGATACTTACATAAAACAGCTGCTTGTTTAAACGACAATCTTGCAGAGCTTCAAAAACTTTGGCCATTCCTCTTCTAGCGTTCTGTTGACCAACCAAATCACTCAACATTTCTGCAGAAAAATAGTGCAAATACAATAAATCAATGACATTTAGACATTTTGCTGATCATCCAAATTGCTTAATTCTACAAAATAAAACCAAATAGACAAATTCAGTAATTTCTATCATTCTGTTGACCAGTCGAATCATTCAAGAACTAGAGAAAAACAATCCAAACACACTACATCAATGATTTATAGCTGACCAATCAAATCATTCAAGAACTAAAGAAAAAACACAAATACACTTTATCAATGATTTATAGCTGACCAATCAAATCATTCAAGAACTAAAGAAAAAACACAAATATACTTTATCAATTATTTCTAGCTGACCAATCAGATCATTCAAGAACTAGAGAAAAACAATCCAAACACACTACATCAATGATTTATAGCTGACCAATCAAATCATTCAAGAACTAAAGAAAAACACAAATACACTACATCAATGATTTATAGCTG